AATTGGCTCTGGAAAAAAAAAAGGATCAGCAATGATTTAAGCGAAAAAGTCAAAACAAGTTACTTCTGTTTTCTATTAGTTCAGCTCATGCAGTTAACTCCTGTTTGATATTCATGAACATTTTGGCTCTCTATGAAAGTCCTGAAAGTTTTCCCTTTATTCTTTTTTTTTTTAATTTGAGACGAGTCTCACTCTTGTTGCCCAGGCTGGAGTGGAATGGCTGGTGTGATCTTGGCTCACTGCAAACTCCGCCTCCCAGGTTCAACCAATTCTTCTGCCTCAGCCTCCCAAGTAGCTGGGATTACAGGCATGCACCATCATGCCCAACTAATTTTTTGTATTTTTAGTAGAGACGGGGTTTCACTATGTTGAGCAGATGGCCCTCTAACTCCTGACCTCAGGCCATCCACATCCACCGCCTCGGCCTCCAAAAGTGCTGGGATTACATGTGTGAGCCACCGCGCCCAACCTAGATTTTTTCTTTATTCTAATTCACAATTTCCAAAGTTATCAGAAGCCTACATTGAAGAACACCTATTAGAGTTCTATAGTTGATTATAAAACCATCTTCTAAAGAGGACCACAACAAGATAACAATTTTCCATGGATGACAGAATGCCTTAGGGCAGCCTCTATAAAAGCCACAATTGACTAGGAATTTTGATTACTACTTCTGTGATATACAACAATTTAACATACCAATTATACTTATTAATAACATGTACTGTCATATCAGAATTATAGAAGTTTCACTGATTTTGGAACACATAGCAATAATATATTTATACAAAGACAGCCCAAAGAAAGCCAAACATCATTTCATATTTGACAGTGTTTCCTGTGTAATTTTTATACCAAATAAGCTGAATATATTATTTTTTAGACTTGAGGGGATCTAATACCCAAAAGTTTAGTTAGATCAGAAAAAGGTGTAATTTTGAATATGATTTTGGGAAGTCTGTCAAATATTAAAGGTTTAAACACTTGATAGAAACCCATGTCATCATAAGTTATTCATTTACCCAAAATGAATAACTTATGAACTCCTAATTCATAACATCTTGAACTCCTAGTCTCGAGTGATTCACATGCCCCCACCTCCAAAGTGCTGGGATTGCAGACATGAGCCATTGCACCCAGCCGTCTTTCATTATTTTAAAAAATATAACATGAAAAATCTTGTTCAAGGGAGAAAGCCAAATTTCACTGTTGCATTAGTGCATTATTGATGTCAAACCCAATTCTTAATAAAACCTTGTAATAAGACAGATCTATTCAACCATAAGGTAAGATTCTCATAAACCTTTTATAACCCTTTACAATTTTTGTTAAAGAGCAGATTTGTGCTACAGGAAAACTCTGTTGTGCCTTTATTCCAATATTCAGTTTTCGGAAAAATGAATAATGCCCCTTTAACTTTAGGCCAGTGTGTTCACACACAAATTTCTTTTACAAGATTAATTTTTCACAAACCTTCCACAACTTGCTCCAACCTTCAGCATTATTCTCTCTAACTTAAAATAATCCTTTAACCCTTTACTCTAGGCAAAAAAAATTTACATTCCCATGACTTCTTACAATCGTTTACCAAAAATACACTTCACTTTCCTTATACACCTTGCATGTAGAACGGCTTTTCCCACAGTCTGAAGTACACGTTACAAAGAAGCAGCTTATGACCTTAAAGCATTTAGCAAACCTAACATCTGAACTGCCTACTTTAGACCAAATGCCTAAATTTTTGAAGATATTTTTGTTTTACCATAATCTTTAAAACTGTCTTTATTTCCCAAAGATTACTTAAGTCACATGAACTAAAAGGCACTACAGTTTTAATTTTTCTGACAAAGTACATAGTTTAAGCTTGTATTTTTAAACTAATTAATCAAAGCTCTTTCATATATAAGCTTCACACACATAACATATAAATACACAGACAGAAGCTCCAGGAGTTGTAAGAGCTTCCATTTTCAGTTTCTAAGTTTCTTAGTTGGATTACTGGCTTCAGGGTGGAGCTCTTTGATAAACAGGGCTAGGGAAACATGCAGTTTCTGGGCCTAATAAGCAGCTGTAAGGAAAAGCAGATTCCAGAAATCAGGGGTCCCATTTCTATACCAGATACTAGATCCCCATTAAAGGGAATCAGCCCATCCCCTATGGGAGTGTTATCTCTCAGTGAGGTGTGGGGACATTTCCATACCTTCTAGGTGGCCAAGAGCATGCTTCTCTGATCCAAACATGCAAAGAGCTGTATATTCCCCTATAACTGCCATTAGCTACCCCAAAGTATATTTCCTACCTAGTTACTACACACCAAAGCTGTCTCATAGTGTGAAGTCAAAACCGTCAGGTACCACAATGAAAAACAGAGCCGAGTCTTAAATTTTGGGAAGATCTATCCATTTTAAATTCTTCGGTTTCATGAGAAAAATAGGTTTTTCCCAAAATGGGGTCTGTGGTACCTCTTCTTTTTCCCAAGGAGTCCCAAGCTGTTAGATCTTGAATATCCACTTTTGTTTTTTGAGACATGGTCTTGATCTATTGCCAGGCTGGAGTGCAGTGGCGCAATCTCAGCTCACTGCAACCTCCACCGCCCAGGTTCAAGCAATTATCCTGCCTCAGTCTCCTCAGACTACAGGTGCATGCCACCACACCTGGCTAATTTGTTTTTTTTTTTTTTTGTATTTTTATTAGAGATGGGGTTTCACCATGTTGGCCAGAATGGTCTCGATCTCTTGACCTTGTCATCTACCCACCTTGGTCTCCCAAAGTGCTGGTGTGAGCCACTGCGCCCGGCCTGAATATCCACTTTTAAGCTGACTTTTAACCATAGTGCTTATTTATTTATTCATTTGGTTTTGAGATGGAGTCTCACTCTGTCGCCCAGGCTGGAGTGCAGTGGCATGATCGCGGCTCACTGCAACCTCCGTCTCCTGGGTTCAAGCAATTCTCCTGCCTCAGCTTCCCGAGTAGCTAGGATTACAGGCATGCACCACCATGCCTGGCTAATTTTTTGTATTTTTAGTATAGACGAGATTTCACCAAGTTGGCCAGGCTGGTCTTGAACTCCTGGACTCAAGTGATCTGCCTGCCTCGCCCTCCCAAAGTGCTGGGATTATGGGTGTGAGCCACCATGCCTGGCCCATGGTACTCTTTTTAAAAAGATTACTTAAATCTCTTATTACCCAACTTCAGCCAGACCACACAGCCAATATTTCTGACTTTGGACACCAAGAGAAAGTACCTCCATGTGGTTACAAGGTCAACTCCCAAGGACATTTTTCAACATGTGGTCTCTGGGCAAGATGAAAGAGGAGACAGTTGCCCTGAGTAACAGAAAAGATGGAAAAGAGGGAGAAAAGCATTGCCTCTGGCAGGATGGGGAAGGTGAGGAGCTCAGGGAGGCCAGAGAAAGACCCACCCATTGCAGCGACACTGAATCAAAAGTTCAGACGGCCACTTGTCAGTCATGAAGGGGTCTTATCCAGAAGCCCCATCAGCTCTAGAGTTCCTGGTTTTGGAGAGAAAAAAAGCTCCCATGTTCCATTATCCTGTATGTGCCTAACCTCGCCACCCACAACCGTCAGCAGAGAGTGCAAGGCAGATTAATCCAAAGAGAATAGTGCTTACATTCTGTATCCAGATCCATTCTTAGCGGAGAGAGACTTTACTCTCTGAGTAAAGAGAGAGACTTTTACTGCAGGGGGGCCTTTAACCTCTTATATCTTAGGAAGGACTCTAACCTTCCCAAGCTGGACCTTGAACCCAGGTTTGTTCAAGTACCCTTGCCTTCTTTTAGGAGGAACCTTTAGCCCACTCTGTCTTAGGAGAAACTCTGACTCCCTAGATTGAGTCTCTAACCCAATTCCATCCTTTGCCACAGCATATGCACCCCACTTACCTAAAGGCGGCCAATGGGTGCTGCAGTGTATTTTCTTTGGGTCAGAGGTCTCCTCGGTATTATCCCTTTGGATTTCAGTAGGAAGACATTACCAGAAAGGGGTCCTGATCCAGACCCCAAGAGAGGCTTCTTGGACCTTGTGCAAGAAACAATTCAGGGCAAGTCAATATAGTGAGGTGAAAGCCAGTTTATTAAGAAAGCAAAGGAACAAAAGAAGGGCTACTCCCTAGGCAAAGCAGCTGTACATTTTCTAATTAATAGGATCATTTATAGGAAGTTTTTATATTCTGGGTACCAGACGTTTGTCAGTAGTACCTTGCAAGGGTCCTCTCCTATTTTGTGGCTGGCTTTTCACCATTGGTAGCTTAGCAAACATAAGTTCTATCCATCACCTTCTTTTCTTTCATGATTTTTGCTTTTTTATTTGGATACAGAGTCTTACTCTTTCACACAGACTGGAGTGATCATGGCTCACTGCAGCCTCTGCCTTGCTGGTCAAGCAATTCTCATGTCTCAGCCTCCCAAGTAGCTGGGATTACAGACATACACCACCAAGCCTAGCTAATTTTTTGTATTTTTAGTAGAGATGGGATTTCACTGTGCTGGCCAGGCTGGTCTCGAACTCTTGACTTCAGGTGATCCACCTGCCTCAGCCTCCCAAAGTGCTGGGATTACAGGCGTGAGCCATTACACCTGGCCTGATTTTTGCTTTTTGTGTTGTCTTTAAGTACTGTTTCCCTTGGCTGAGATCACAAAGTTATTTTATTAATTTGGGAAAATGCTGTTGTTTTACTGTTCACATTCCATCTGGAATGTGTTTTTGTGAATGGTGTGGGACTGGGTTCCAGAGTTCAATTCTAAAGAAAGATAAGCAGCTGACCTGTCTTGTCTCAGGAGAAGACAGCCCTTGCCCCACTCCTCTGTGGTGGCATGTGGGTCATCAGTTGAATTCTCCACACCTGGGTGGATCTGTTTTATCTCACTGATTTATTTTCTGTCTTTGTGCCTATAATAGACTCTTAATTACCATAGTTTTATAGTAAGTCTTGACATCTGTAGAGAAAGCCTGCCATCTTATTTTCTTCTTCAAGAGTCTTACATGCTCACTTTGGAAGCACATACACTAAAACGAGAATGTTGCAGAGAAGATGAGCATGGTACCTGTGCAAGGATGACACATTTGTGAAGTGTTCCCTATTAAAAAAAAAAGTGTCTTAGCACTTCTTGCCCTGTGCATTTCAGAATCAGCTTTAGAGTAAGCTTGTCAGATGTCATAGTATACCTATTGAGATTATTATCATTGCTTTGAATTATTCTAAAGAGAATTAACGCCTTTGCATTGTTATTATTATTATGAAACAAAGTTTTGCTTTTGTTGCCCAGGCTGGAGTGCAATGGTGCCGATATCAGCTCACTGTAACCTCTGCCTCCTGGGTTCGAGTGATTCTCCTGTCTCAGTCTCTGAGTAGCTGGAATTATAGGTGCCTGCCACCATGCCCAGTGAATTTTTCTATTTTTAGTAGAGACAGGGTTTCACCATGTTGGCCAGGCTGGTCTCAAACTCCAGACCTCAGGTGATCCACCTGCCTCAGCCTCCCAAAATGCTGGAATTACAGGTGTGAATCACTGCACCCCACCACCTTTGCATTATTGAGTCTTCCAGCCATTGGACATGATCTGTCCCTTCATTCAAATATTTTTTACTTTATCTCAGTAATGTATAATTTTCTGTGGGGGGACTTTGTACATTTCTTGTGACAGTCTCAGTTACTTAGTATGTGTGTGTTTTAATCTTGTGGTGAATACTTTGATCAAAAATTTTTATTTACTCTTTTGCTTGTTTTTGTGAGACAGTTTCTCTTTGCTGTCCAGGCTGGAGTGCCGTGGCACGATCTCGGCTTACTGAAACCTCTGCCTCCTGGGTTCAAGTAATTCTCCTGCCCTAGCCTCCTGAGTAGCTGGGATTACAAGTGCCTGCCTCCACGCCTGGCTGATTTTTTATATTTTAGTAGAGACAAGTTTTCACCGTGTAGCCTAGGCTGTTCTCAAACTCCTAAGTTCAGGCAAGCCACCCGTCTCGGCCTCCCAGAGTGCTGGGATTACAGGTGTGAGCCACTGGGCCTGGCCTATTTACTTTTTATTGCTAGTGTGTAGAAACCAAATGGTGTTTATATGTTGATATATTTGGCAGCCTTGCTAAATTCAGTTATAGAAGATTCATAAGATGACATGACACCATCGTGTCATCTGCCAATAGTGGTAGTTATATTTCCAGTTGTTCAGTTTTTTCCTTCCCCTGTTACACTGGCTAAGCCTTTCAGTAAAATGCTGAAAACAGATGTCCTTGACTTCTCTGAGAGAGGAAGCTTTCGGTATCCAACCATTAATTATGATATTTCCTATTCGGTTTCTAAAATGCCCTTATCACATTAAGGAAGTATGTTTCCTTTCATTCTGAGTTTAAGAAGGATTTCAAAAATCATTTAAAATAATTTTAAAATCATGAATGATTGTTAAATTGTTTTTATTTTCTTCCATCTATTAATATGATTGTTTTATTTTTCACCTTTATTCTGTTAATGTGTCAAATTATGTTGATTTTTCTGTTGAACCTCATTACATTCCTGGGATAAAACTTGACTTGGTCATGATGCCTTATTCTTTTTATGTACAGTTGGATTCAGTTTGAAATTCTTTATGCATTACAATGGTTAACACCTTAAATTGACCTTTTAAAATAGGCTACAACAGTGTTTTGAGTTTTTTGTTTTTTTTAATGTACTTTAAATTCTAGGGTACATGTGCAGCCCATGCAGGATTATTACATAGGTATACAAATGCCATGGTGGTTTACTGCATCCATCCCCCTGTCATCTATGTTAGGTATTTCTCCTAATATCCGTCCCCTATCCCCCCACACCCTGCTATCCCTCCCCTACCTCTCCCACTCCCTAACAGGCCCCAGTATGTGATGTTCCCCTCCCTGTGTCCATGTGTTCTCATTGTTCAACAACCACTTATGAGTGAGTACATTCAGTGTTCGGTTTTCTGTTCTTGTATCAGTTTGCTGAGAATGATGGTTTCCAGCTTCATCCATGTCCCTGCAAAGGACATGAACTCATCCTTTTTTATGGCTGCATAGTATTCCATGGTGTATATGTGCCACATTTTCTTTATCCAGTCTGTCATTGATGGGCATTTGGGTTGGTTCCAAGTCTTTGCTATTGTAAAGAGTGCCGCAGTGAACATACGTGTTCATGTGTCTTTATAATAGAATGATTTATAATCCTTTGGGTATATACCCAGTAATGGGATTGCTGGGTCAAATGATATTTCTATTTCTAGATCCTTGAGGAATCACCACACTGTCTTGTACAATGATTGAACTAATTTACACTCCCATCAATAGTGTAAAAGCATTCCTCTTTCTCCACATCCTCTCCAGCATCTACAGATTTTTTAATGATTGTCATTCTAAGTGGTGTGAGATGGTATCTCAGTGTGGTTTTGATTTGCATTGCTCTAATGACCATGATGATGAGCATTTTTTCATATGTTTGTTGGCCACATAAATGTCTTCTTTTGAAAAGTGTCTGTTCATATCCTTTGCCCACTTTTTGATGAGGTTGGTTTTTTTCTTGTAAATTTAAGTTCTTTGTAGATTCTAGATGTTAGCTCTTTGTCAGATGGGTAGATTGCAAAATATTTTTCCCATCCTGTTGGCTGCCAGTTCACTCTAATGATAGTTTCTTTTGCTGTACAGAAGCTCTTAAGTTTAATTAGATCCCGTTTGTCTATTTTGGCTTTTGTTGCCATTGCTTTTGGTGTTTTAGTCATGAAGTCCTTGCCTATGTCTATGTCCTGAATGGTATTGCCTAGGTTTTCTTCAAGGGTTTTTATGGTGTTAGGTCTTATGTTTAAATCTTTAATCCATCTGGAGTTAATTTTTGTATAAGGTGTAAGAAAGGGGTCCAATTTCAGCTTTCCGCACGTGGCTAGCCAGTTTCCCAAACACCATTTATTAAATGGAATCCTTTCACCATTGCTTGTTTTGTCCGGTTTGTCAAAGATCAGATGGTTGAAGATTTGTGGCATTACTTCTGACACCTCTGTTCTGTTTCATTGGTCTATATCTCTGTTTTGGTACCAGTACCATGCTATTTTGATCACTGTAGCCTTGTAGTATAGATTGAAGTCAGGTAGTGTGATGACTCCAGCTTTATTCTTTTTGCTTAGGATTGTCTTGGCTATGCGGGCTCTTTTTCGGTTCCATATGAAGTTTAAGGTTGTTTTTTCCAGTTCTGTGAACAAGGTCAGTGGTAGCTTGATGGGGATAGCATTGAATCTGTAAATATCTTTGGACAGTATGGCCATTTTCACAATATTGATTCTTCCTAACCATGAGCATTGAATGTTTTTCCATCTGTTTGTGTCCTCTCTTATTTCCTTGAGCAGTGGTTTGTAGCTCTCCTTGAAGAGGTCCTTCACATCCTTCGTTAGTTGTATTCCTAGGTATTTTATTTCTTTGTAGCAATTGTGAATGTCAGTTCATTCATTACGTGGCCTGACGTGAGGTCCTGTTGGCTTTGCAAGTAAAGAATGGGTAGCATTGCTACCCAGATCACCTTTGGATCCATTGCTCTTGTTTATGTTGTCTCTTGATTTTTGGTCAGGGGAACTTCTCTTTGGGATTTCCTAGTATTTTAACATCTTAAATTTAACATATTAGGAATTTAACATGTTAAAATAAAGATACGACCCACTTCATGAATTGTTGTAAAGATTAAATGCATTATGTGTCACTCTTATAAATGATGTAATTGACGGATATTTAATTTAATGAAAATCCATTTACAATGCAGTGTTAATTGAAAAAGTAGGGTGAAGTATGATTTCATTTCTTCAAAATTATAGAGATGGCTGGGCGCAGTGGCTCATGCCTGTACTCCCAGCACTTTGGGAGGCCGAGGCAGGTGGATCGCCTGAGGTCAGGAGTTCATGACTAGCCTGACCAACATAGTGAAACCTCTCTCTACTAAAAACACAAAAAGTTAGCTGGGCATGGTAGTGGGCACCTATAATCCCAGCTACTCAGGAGGCTGAGGCAGGAGAATCACTTGAACCCAGGAGGCAGAGGTTGCAGTGAGCCAAGATTGCACCATGGCACTCCAGCCTGTGCAATAAGAGTGAGACCCCGTCTCAAAAAAAAAAAAAACATAGAGACACATATACGTGTATATGTGTATATAATTGTACATATATGCATATGTACAAAATACTCACTTTCTGCTTTTTTTTTAAATAGTGTCTCTATTGCCCAGGCGGGCTCTCACTGCAACCTCCGCCTCCCAGGTTCAAGTGATTCTTGTGCCTCAGCCTCTTGAGTAGTTGGGATTACAGGCATACACCACCACACTGAGCTGATTTTTTTTGTATTTTTAGCAGAGATGGGATTTCACCATGTTGGCCAGGCTAGTCTCAAACTCCTGGCCTCAAGTGATCTGCCCGCCTTGGCCTCCCAAAGTGCTGGGATTACAGGTGTGAGTCACTGAGCCTGGCCTCTGCTTGCTTTTCTGTAGTCCAGCTTTTCTATAATAAATTGTATCAAGAAAAATAAATCTGTAAGCTATTTTTAAGAGAAAGCAATCATGTTCATTACAGCATTGTGCAGAATAGTTACTAGTTGGAAACTACCTAAATTTCCACTAATGGGGTAATGGTATGTTATGGGGTATTTTGATTTCTACATTAAAATGTTAATTATTTGTTTTTTTACTTTTACATTGCTTGATATTTTTATTTTGTTTTAGGTAAATTTTGGAGTCGGAGTTTAAAACTAGCTTATACTCTACTTAATAAACTGACTAATAAGAATGAACCTCTACTTAAACCTGGAGACAGAGTAAGTATCTCGGATGTCACTTTGTTGGAATGAGCAAAAGCAGAGACTTAAATAATCTTGTTTCTTTTTTTTTTTTTTTTTTTTTTTGAGACGTAGTTTCGCTCTTATTACCCAGGCTGGAGTGCAATGGCACGATCTCAGCTCACCGCAACCTCCGCCTCCTGGGTTCAAGCCATTTTCCTGCCTCAGCCTCCCGAGTAGCTGGGACTACAGTCTGCGCCACCATGCCCAGCTAATTTTTGTATTTTTAGTAGAGATGGGGTTTCACCTTGTTGACCAAGATGGTCTCAATCTCTTGAC